AAAAAAGTTCCTGTATTCGGGTCGACTACTAATAAGGCCCTGATTGTGGTATGGGACCAGCGCGACTACTGTTTCTTTTCATTGGCCAATCCCAGCTCCTTACCTTATTTTAGCTTACTAATTTGGTTTTAAAGGTTCTTGGTAGTTTTGTTTGCTCTTATTCATCATTAGTCGACCCAGCTGCAATATTTATTTAGAAGGAGCAATAAAAAGTAATCATGAACACACATTTGGAACGGAATCGGTCACCCTTTTCTAAATTCTAACGGAATGCTCCCAAAAACTGGAGAGCACATCCATTATATCAGTAAAAAAACCACATAAGAGCTGTATACACGCGGACGATCAAAAGAATCTGCCCCGGAAACATGGTGCACTGGTCGAGCTCAATGGGGTCTTCGAAGGATCGTGTACCATAACGACCCTTACTGGAAAGCTAGTTCCGAGGGGATTTGCATAGTGGAGCTAATGCCTCTAGGAAACTATCCAACATTGAATCGATTCAAGAAATTATGTAAGAGCTTCAGGCTGAAGCAGTTACTGTAGGCCTCCTTGAGCTGACGTGACAGATGACGTCATATTCTGAAGACGGTGAGGGCAGTGAAAGAGGGCTTGCTCCTACTTGGAGGATCCTGCTGAATGGAGGGTCATCTCTGTAATATTGCTGTAGCACTTTCGTCGACAGTGGCAATCTGTGCCGACATGGACAAAATGACTTTTTGGCCCCTCCCCTCTCCCCCGTAGCTTTTTTTCGGACGCCATAGAAAACACCTTTTCACTAGCGGAATATGCCTTTCAAGAACACCGAAATACAGATATCGGGCCAGAACTGCAGGGGAGGAGCGATCCGAGGTGGACCAGCATCGTCCCACCCACAAACGCAGCCCAGGCCCTGCCTCAGATGCAGTGATCTCGTATGGGGCTAAATTACTGTAATAACATGAAAACTTGCTCGAAACTGAAAATGAGATGCAGAAGAACACCAATTCACCACCCAATTCACAGTTTTTGCCAAAGACACATTTTCTGCATCTTTGCACTCTTGAATGCCACGAGCACTTTAAGAGTAATAGTGCGCTCACGCCTGAGCTACTCCCTCAGTCGGATGCACTGAAGTCAAAGTTAGCGAACACGTGCAGCTTATCGGCATGAGATCCCACAGCGGTATGGAGTTGTTCAATGGGCATCGTGAACAGATCGCGTAGACTTCGCACCTAAACGACTTGCCTTCACATATTCTTCATTGGTGAAAGATGCTGGGGGGCACTTCTGTTATCGAACCCGTAGAAACTCCGAGAGCGCCTCCTCTCAGCATCTCTAAACCTATGATAAGAAAATGGCTTTGGTAAAGCTCACGTCTTTCTCATACCCGGACGTCTTCTTCACATTCTATGCAATGCTCGCACCTTTCATGTCTTCCTGGGCTCCCTAACCTTAAGGCCTTAGCAATGATTGTTCTTTTCTGGTTTCAGAAGCTACTTCTAGGGACTCATACAGGGCGATTAAAAAGCCATTTAAAGGACGAATTCACGCTGGGAAGGCAACCCATTTCAAATTAACTCAGGGATGGTGATTGGTACACGAAAGAAGGAAGAACCATGAGAAACGGCCCAGAACCCGAGAAATGGGACCCCTTCCTTCCCCGCTGATTTGCGCATTGATGACTCTATCGCTGTGCCCTCCTCAACATCACGCTCTCTCTGCTATCTAATCAATCCCACGTATAGATCTGCGGCGAGTGATCAGCTGGTCGGTGGGCGGAGATCAACCAGACCCGCAACTTTGAGCGATAAAAGTCTCCGAGTCAATTTTCGATGCATGTCGCTATCAGTCGTCGCACCCCAGAGTCCTGGTACTCACTAGGTAAATCTCTTCCTCAAGCCTCTCCTTCTAATCGAGAAACCTCCTTTAGAACTCCCACATCCAACCGGACTTACCATAATAAAGCTTAACCCATTCGTGACAATGTCAGCCACCGGTGGCTGACAAAGCTCTCACTCGGGACAATGGTATTACTGTGGCTGCAGGGCTTGAAATGGAATTTGGAAAGTTTTCTTCCATGGAAAGAATCTTCATACCCTCGCTCATCTACGCCAGCCCTGGGCAGAGGAAATCTCCCTCCACTCGAATTTTATTGAAGAAAAATCTCCTGACGCTGCTGCTATTGCGCAATCCTGCGCGGTCGCGAATGGGTTAAAGTTACTGCAATGTTTGAATCGTTCATTTCCTTATCCTGAATACTACCATACAATTTGGAGTGGCCTCCCGAACTCCAGTTTCACCTGATGGCGTAAAATCTCTTACGCAATTAAAACTAACGTTTGAACCATAAGAAAAAGGGGGAAAAAGAGCAGTGCTTAAAAAAAGTTAAAGGGTAAGTATGATGCATGCCAACCTTTTGACTCAGCATCATCGACTGTACATCCCCTCTTGCCATTCCAGGCAAATGTTTCACATGTGACGAAGTACTATCGCATCGCTTTCACGCTATCGGGCTTCCAGTTGCTCCTCTACAACAGTTCATGTAAACTCTACATCAACAAATAACGTAATGTTTACAGCCTTCATCGCCCTTTGTGATTTTCAATCTAATCTCTTGAACGACATAGCCTCCGAATTCTGGTCGGCGTTCAGCTGAAATTTGGTGTTGAAGTGGCTATGCCTACACGATTGCAGAAATATAGTAATGGGTTTTAGCAACTGGATCCTCATCGCTCTACAGAAACAAAGAAGCTCTCGTACAACTTGGGTGGCACCCCAGCTTTCTTCTCAGCATGTCAATGACGCTTCTCCAACCCGCTAGTTGGCTACACACTCCCTGCCAGAATTCCCCCTTCCGTACAGATAGATTGGACAGCAGTCCAACTACATACATTTTGATCAAACATTGCGCTGCCCACCTATCTTGTAAGCACCCCAAAGGAACTGCAGAAAATCAAATACGGCTTTTGACAGTATACTGACTATAGTGGTTAGCTTGCCTCTGCAGCTAAAGTAATACTCCAGGCCGCTGCTGGCAGCTAGGCGTGCCGCTGCCTGCCGCACCCACACCTCGCCATCTGACTCTACCCGTTTAGTAGAGAGTGCGTTCGCGTAGCAGAGGGCAGCAGCAGAGAGTCGCATCAATGCGAAAACCAACGGACAAAGTAGGGATCCCATTTCTCGGGTTCTAGGAGTTCCCTATGGAATTTTTCCTCGTCCCTGCCCCAATAGTGATTTTTACAGAAGGTCAAAACAGATACTGTGGTACTTATAGCCGATTGTGAACAGCTCACCTTGAGTTCAGCAAAGTACTCAGCTGAATTAGCTGGGGACAGCGACCAGATCAGCTTCAGACGTGGTGTTGCTCTCAACAGCGAGCATAACAGGGCGCGTACTTCACGACAGTGCCGCGTGAGCTCACCCTTAACAAAAAATGACAGACACTGAGAAAAATCACTGAAATGTTCTTATTTAGCAATGAAATACAAAATACGACGTACCTGAAATGGGCCACCATTGACAATTTTCGACTCAAATTTACGATTAGATTCTACTAAGAGCACAGAATTCGCGTAATGCCGCAGCATCTGAAAAACCAATCTGATAGTTGAGAAATTTAAACGTGAATAAAGAAGATCTGATCACCTGTTCAGATTGTTTGAAAACACGTCCGGATTGCAAAGACTGGGTCAAATCGTCAAGCGCTTTTCGTTCAACAGCGATTCCTGGTGACAGCACATAGTCACCAACCTGGAATGTAATGCATCAATAGGGTATGACAGATATGAAGAGCCCTATTAGCCTTTTTGTGGCTCCCAGGGCTGCTCAGAAAAAAATATCATCAGTTTATGCTCACTCTTGTGTCCCTATAACATGCATAAAACCATTTTGAAAAAGCGCTCCACGTCCTGAACGACTTTACTGGCTAGTTCTCCAAACTGTACTAGCAAAAAGCATGTAGTAGGAGCTCGCCAAAATGGAAAACATTGTTGTATTGCGTGAAACAAAATCCTTTGCCTATCACTAATTATTTCACTACAGCTCTACCCGCAGTAGTGAACCAACAAAAATGAAACCCTTCACAGCACACTCCAAAAATAAAGCACTAAGAAAAACCACACCGCATAAAAGGTGAGGAAGTTGAAAAAGAAAATTTACCTCCAAAGTAACAGCAACCACATCATACCCCTTTGTATACAATACTGTAGGTAGTTCGCTGTTGAATTCACGCATGTCGACAATAACCTTGAAAGTTATTTTTAAATCTATCGCCTAGAGAAAATAGAAGTTGCATAATTCAAAAGTCTGAAAGCCCACGACACTATTGCCTAGATAGGCAAGGGAGGGGTGGGAGGGAAGAGAGAAAGGGCGAATGCTTATAGCCTGCCAGATAGAATGCAGGGGTGCAACTAAAATGGTCAAGCCAGCAACGAGGAGCTTGCAAAATTGGAGCACGTCAATTAACACTGTCCAACAGCTATGTTCCACGCTATCTCTGTGTCCATGGGTGGGTGATAAATTGCGAGCGCAGTCAGCGTCTCGTTGTCCTATTGGCCAGCCCCTAATGCTCTACCGTAATGTTCACCATCCGTCAAAGATTGAGATGTCGACAATCAGGTGCCAGCGACAGGTTGAAAAGGCTCCACCCACTATTATTTCACTGTATCGGATGCACTTCTTCAGAATTCGGCTACTTATTTCTTGTGTTACCAGACACCCACTTTCGCTTGTTGAGCGATATAGTGCACAAAACGCGAGTAGAGGATTGGAAAAAATCACGTACACGTTTGGCGCCTTTCATCTCAATATTCGCTTTGCTGGTTCCTCCATTCCAGCACGCACGTTAAGAGCGTTCTAAACGACGGCACTCTTCACAGGTGCGGCGTCTCATTATCGTCGAGAATCAACAGGTGTCTCTGAGATGCTTGTAAATAGGCCATCACTTTCAACCAGAATCTTTTTGAATCATGCTTCTTGCACTGCTGAATTTGCGGATCTGAATTTCTAAGGTCTAACAGTAAATAGACTCACCGCTTTCTCCTTAAACAAGGATTCGAAGGCGTCGGTCTCATTTTTGAGCGCTGTCAGGTATCGTGACTCCTCAGTAGATTCTCTGTACATGAGGGAGAATATTTGAAGAAAAAGCTCCGAGTCTAGATGTGAGCATGCTTTTGTTAATCTGGGAAACAAACACAATTCCTGTAACCTGGTGAATGTTAACTCAACTTTTTTCACTAATCCGGATTCGGCCACATCTATGATAACTTCTCTCTTATTTTACAAAATTAGATAACCTCCACAAAAATCTTGATGGGATCTTTCGTGCCTTAGGTCCTTTTTTAGTTTTTTTTTATGTTAAGCACGTAATTTATGGATGCATTTATAGACCTGAGGAAGGGCTCATTGCCCAAAACTATCGTCAAATGAATTTTTTCTGTGGAGGAGCTTCGATGTGATAATTACAAAGACGTTGTATGAAATCATGAAGCTCAGCAACATTATGATGACGATTAAAATGCATGGCGCATCAAAGAAGCGCCCTTGATTGGTCAATGCCTTTCAAGCACCAGGGTCTTTTATGGTCAACTATCTGATGGGACTTGGGAATTTTCCAACGAGGAGCTCGAATCTGTGGTTTTTGTCGTGATAATGGAAGAAATATGCTGAAATGGGAGGATAGGTCGCTGGGTCACGAGCGATACCATTCCCCCTCCTTCCCTCCTCGATTGCCGTACTCCGCTGGGGTGATGTCAAATTTTCGGAAAGTGTTTGCGTGTAACGAGCAGCGAATGGAGAAGCCGTCAGCGTTGCATGGTTATTGCCAAACAAATCACCAAACAAAACTGGACTCCGGAAGTGGGGGGGGCGCGTGGGGAGTCACTCAGGTGGGTTTAAAGAGCCTCGACAAATGTCCTAAATGGCCAGCGTGACGTAGACCTTGTGGTCTTTCATAAGCTTGAGCGCTTCAGTTCTCGTACATCCGTTCAACAAGTTATCAGTATGACAGAAATATACTTCTATCTGTCTCAATGTGACGATATCCGTATTATAGAGAATGATCACTGTTGGTTTCATCTGTTCCAACTGACGGAGAATCGAGTATCTTTCACCGTAAGGCATTATTACCAATGGCACCTGAACAATTGGTCAATATATCTTGCTGTCTAGTTCACACTTATCAGGAAAGCCTATTCACGTGGAACACTTTAACGAAACCTTCCCTGTGGAGACGACGGTAAAAAAAATGGCGTTTTCTTTTCCTTTTCCCTGGCTATTGCCACTTGTGGTGTGTGGTCTGTACTCGACGCGCACCTGATCTCGGAAGGAGGATAATGGTTCACCAGGACTGCTCTCAGAAAAAGAAAGGTCCTGCTGCACGTACGTGCTCCTAATAACATAAAAACAGTCTTGAAAATTGCACAGAGGCAGGGGTATTTCCATCCAGCTGTCCCCGGGGCCTGCAGCAACACTGACGTCAAATCAATCATACTGCGGTAGTTTACGCCGCACAATGCTTACTCCCCCGCTTGATAGCAAAATTAACATTTAGTTGATCATCTTTCTCTTTGTTTGGAGGTGTTCTAGAATTTGTTGAGGGAGTAAGGGCTACACGGGCAGGGTGAATATCGCTTGAGGATTCCTCAACGGCACGTCGAGGATTCTCTGCCCGATCAGAGACGATCTCTCGCGCGGACATTCACACTCGCCATGCCGTGCCGTCTGTGCTCTCCGCGCGGATGTTCACTCTCGGCACTACTCTCGCATGGTAGAGAGCTATGGTCGAGGATTTCCTCGACCGTTATTCACCCTGCCCAGTGGATAGCCGTAAGCGCTTGAACTCCGTCTGCCTCCCTCTCAACGTAATGACAGTGAACCTGAGCCTGAAGCGAAGGAGGCCTTAAAAGTAAGCACGTTCGCGATGGCTTGATAGGGAATGTTCGTACACTATTCAACAAACCTTTATAATATCTGGACTTACCAGCAGCCAGAGATACGCCTGTTGTGTTTAGCGACTCGAAACTGCGCTCGAGAAAGGCCTGGGCCTTACAGCTGTGAGGCAAGTCCGAGAAGAATGTGTAGTATTTTTTACGAAATTCCTGGCGCCTTGCCCCTATGCACACAACGGGGATAGACGTAAAGCTAATTCAAAAATAGCGGGCGTTAATTTGGAGCCATCGACGCCAGCAAATCGGAGAATCCTTTACTGACACGTCCCCTTCCTCATCTCAATGACGGGGGGGGGGTGGCTTTCATCCGTTCCTTTGCGTTTCTCATTCATGCAGTCAAACTAGCCATCTACACTTTCATCATCCGGACACTGAATGCCGCACCAATATGGTAGGTGTTGTTCTTTGAAAGCAGAGTTTATGATAGAAGAAAGCCTGCTGGTAATCTAGGTAGAGGTGGTGGTAAGTACTGGAATGAAGGAAAACCAATGAGAGACGGTCTATAACCAAGGAATGGACCTCCATCTTTCCCCGTTGAGGTGTGTGTGTGTGTTGTGTGTGGATTCCCATCAATCGTTTGCCTCTGCAATACGCTCTCTCTGTATCAACGCTAGAACCAGATGGCGAGGGGGACGGGTAGTGCCTTGGGGGCCTACTTTTCGCTGCAAAAACACACCGCCCCGCACCCGCCAGCCTTTTGACTAGGTATATTTTTTCTTCTTCGACCTCCGACGATCGTGGAATCTCCTTTAATCACATTCGAAAAAAACAGAACGCTTCCCTTTGCTTCAAAACCTTTTTGGTAGTGCATGTAGTGAAGAGTCCCAGCGACCATTTTACTGAACAAAATTCGGAACTATTATGTCAAAATGATGTTTAAGCTATGTGAGGCTTCTTCACCAACCCAAACTACACCAAAACACACAGTTACATAATCAGACCTCGAAAAGCACCATCCGTTCCAAAAAGAGGCAAAAAATAGAAAACAACAAAAATTCTGTCTCACATAATAAATAACCTTTTGAAACTACCTTCTCGTGTTCTCCAATTGTCTTTGCATCGCTTCCATCTTGAATTTCATCAGGTGGCTCCGTTTTTACGGTCACTGGAGGATCCTGAAAATTATCATCCAGAGGTAAATTGATTGAAAAGCTGTATCATGACTCTCCGAGAGGGTACTCAGAATTACATAGTCATCTAGCGTTTTTTTTTTCTTTGACCTACTCTGACTGTGAGGGCGGAAACCGAGTCATGGCAAAAGTCGCCACCACAACGCACATGGTTCGTGTATAGCCCTCGCATCAGGAACCGCTCACACCAAACAATCATTGGTCAACAGACACACTGAATTGCGCTTTGGTCAATCCCGCAAGTTGACGGCTAGCCTAAGCTCTGATCAGAGATCTTATGACCAGAGATCTCATCCTGAGGTGTAAAACAAATCCCTCCATCGTTCCTTGTCTTTCAGAGGATTTTTATTCTTGCGTACACATATACACAACTCCACCTCTCCTGGGCCGTCATGGGTGAAACCAGGGAGCCGAATTCAAAGATCCGGAGACGTCATGGACAGCACGAGTGCTCAGTGTGCAAGAGGTGCGAGTTCGACTCCTGCCCTGAGAAAGCTGCACAAAATCTGTAGAGAAAGCGAACGCATGGCGCATCCGTAATGGATCTGATGAACTCCAATCGTGCAACATGCGGACCTAGCCACTAAGCTTCCAACGCTGTGATGCTTTCCTTACAAGTAACATTCATTAAAAGAGGGTCCAGAACTTTTGCGGCTTCTGAAAGCTATTCGATCGTTTCACAGTTTCTAAGGGCTAACTTTATTACTAACCATAAGAAAGAAGTCCCCATTTGTAGATTTCCCCTGGTCCAGTGTAATCAAAATGGCACCTGAAGACCACCGAATGGCCAACACGAAGGCGCCTCCGGATAATGCTACGGGTCATAACGCATAATTATCCCAACCTTTGGCTATCCATGTAACATACCAAGGAATACTCTGCATTTTGGCCTCTTCAAGTGGTCCAAGTAATCCTTCCAGCCCTTTTTTCTTTTTCCCATATTTGTGCAACTATAAAGCATTTATTCTGGTGCAAAATTCCTCAGAGGCATTGCAATTTCCATAGAAGGCGCCACGGATGATTAATGGATGCGTTTCGATTGCGCCCTCTAGAAGACTCATTTGCACATAGCCTGGCCATCTCAGTGGTTTTTGCTCTACGCAAAGCGCATTCATGAAGATTCTCCTCTGTTGCAGGTTTCTCTATTGCCTTTTTCGTGCTGACTCGCAGCAAATCGATAGGTGACTCGGTCGGACGGACCTCTAATGAAGCTAAGAGCTGCGAAATTTTTTCTCATTCCGCCACATTAGCAACCTTTGTTTTGCAGCTGACTCAGCCGCACTTCCTGCAGCCGCCACAAGGACTCCTCCATTCAGTTGCCGTTTTTACGCCTTGTCGACAACACATAGCAATTTCCATTAGTTTGACGAAATTCGCTTGTATGCTCTTTGTCTAGCCAAAAACGTCACACCTCTAACCTAGTAGTTGAGAAGCAGGTACTAGGCAACTTACCGCTTCTGCGATTTTTTTACATACAAAATTCGGCACCACCTACCCTTCATTGCCCTCAGCTGTTGATAATAGGCTGGATTGTTTTTAAAATTTGCTAAGGAACTATTTGTCAATAAATTTCCCAGAGCGACTACACTCGAATAAGAGCTAATTATCAATGATATTTTTTTCGAAATTTTTGGGGCTCGCTTCAAAAAGCACCGCAGAGTATCAGTTTCGTTTGGTCGTCGCGTCGGCGTCTGTCGTGTGAGGCGTCAGCGCTTTTCTGCTCCCTTGCCAAAATGTAACTTATTCATGTTTCATTGGGGGCTAAACGCACCCTGTGGGATCGCAAGTACCTATGCGGCGAAGGGTAGCTTACGACTAAGCCGGAGCCGAATCCTAAAGCCTCAAATATAGCCCAATGTGCACCCATAAGCTTCAAACCTCACAGCCTGGAAATCCAAGCCTAAGCTCTTGGGCTTATAATGATCACACAGCTACGGTGAATCTTGACTCTATGAGGAGAACTGAACGTTTCGTCTTATCGCGCCAACGGACGTGGTATTGTGTCTCCGGACTCAAATGTATCTTTGGGGGTTTATGTAGCCAAACCTGCCTTGGGAGTAAAACCTTAATTGAAACCCGCATTTGTTCTTCAGAACTAACGGTCAGGAAATGGTAAATAAAGTGCTAGTGAGTATTTAGTTTTTTGATGTGATGTGTGTTCTATTCATGTGCTTTCATCGCTTAAGTCTTCTAGTGAGCTGATAAGACAGACCAAGCTGGTTGAGCGTGGCTATCGGCAATGCGGGAGCTTTAATTCTTTCAGAGAATATGTGCTCGTGCTGGGTGTGTGTGGAGTGGAGATACTTTCTGATGGGATCGTTTCAACACCCACCTCAACCCCTTCTCGCGTCTGTGTGGTTCCGTGATGAAGTGCGGACTCTCACACTCAAACCACACCTCTTTTTGTGCGGCTGGTCTGTGTTCTGCTCACGTCGTTGGGGGCAAGTTTGGGTGGGGGTCTTGAACTGCTGCAGAATGAGCGTGGTGATTGCCTATTAGGTCTGTAAGGAGGGAGGTGCGCATTTGCGATACTCTCCAAGCGTGTGTTGTGTGCCTCGTGAGAACTTTGCTAGCAGTGTAGAGTTGGGTGTGATAGAAGCAGGTGCTGTGGGCGTTCTGAACGCACAAAGTTATTTGCCTAGAACAGCAAAGAACTTTTCGGTGCACATCTGTGGTTAATGGCGAGTGTTTGTAATTCTGGCCTGGTCTCTCTATGTCTTAGTAAAGCTCGTATCCTCCTTCTCACTCTCATGTCTAGCAAAAATCTTCTTGTTATATATACCGACGTCAAACGAGCTCTGGAGGAGGGTTATTTGCGCAGCGAGCGGGGTGGCGACGGTGAGGGCGCTGGTTGGGTACGGCGCGCGACTTCGGACCGCCTGTCGGGTGCGGGTCTTGCGTGTGGGGAGTCACGGCTTTGAGTCGTTCCCTCACCCTCGGGCTGGCTTGAGCCGGATGGCGCCCTGGACCTATTGCGGTAATCGCCCTGTATCCTAATGCAGTCCTATAATGCAGATGTCCGACGGGTTGGCTCCGGGCGGCGACTCTGTGGGCCAGAGCGCGCGTTGTTTCAGTCCCTCACTTACACCTACCACTCCGCCCGGCCTGCGTCACCTCGGTGAACACATCCTTCGTCGCTCGTGCCGAGCATCCTAGTTCTGCCCAGCACTTTGCACTCTTATCTCGAAAAGCAACTGATTTTTGATCCTAAAAGGTCAACTTTCCAGACTATGCCGTTGTTGCAATGTTTATTATACGGTCATATCCGATTTCTGACTCAATTATAAACGTCTGCACAACGACTATTGCGATCATTTTTCGGCCAGATGTCCTTTGTACTCCACTTCCTCAATCACTGCCCCCCCTCTCCCCAACTCCTCGCATTTAGCTCCGTTTTTAACATGGCACTTTAACTACATGCTGTCTAGCCGTCCCGTTCCTTGAATTGTGCATAATTTTCTGTTTATTAAAAAATTATAGGAAGGTCAAGATGAACGGATACTCAAATGGTGTGACCGATAGCCAGCCAAAGTACAAAAGGGTAGGTCCAAAAAAATTCCATAATTACGGTCTTGAATTAGGATTCTCATTGAATGCTTTCGATTTTTTTTCCGTTTGCTAACAACTAATACCAGTCTAGGTATTTCCAGCAGAATTTTACCGGAGAAACCTTTCCTCTGGTTAAGGTAATCGTCGACTCTCCCTATGTTCGTTGCGATGGCAATGAAATGGAGACAAGGTTCCTCTACCGTAAGAACCACTTCTCTCATACTGCCGATGGACTAAAAGTGACACCAAAGGAGCATGAATACGTCTTCAAAACCCAACTGAAGCCGAAACGAACTGGTCAGTTTTAAAAATAAGTTTTCTACAGTGAATGAAAGAAAAACAAGGGTATGCCCAATGTGTTCAATATTCAGCCAAGATAGTAGTGGAAATCGAATACGTGTCTGGTCCATAAATAATTTGGAGGGCAGCCGATGAATGGTCAAGACGCATCCCTCACTCTGATACAGATTAGCCCATCAAGAAAAATGTATGGAGGAATCGGCCTAGACAAAGATCAATCTCTGGACATATTTGGACTGAGCAGAAAGGTTACTCCTAGTTCAGAAAGGCAGTAATTCCGAGGGATAGTGAAAATTCCCAGCAAATGCGGTATGGGGAATTTCGCAACTCCTATTCAGACAAACGGGTGGAGCTCGTATAGGCTCCAAGGGCTCCATGAAAATTTCTACGTAATCTTACAGTACCAAGACTGACTGCACAGCTTACGAATACAGCATCTCTGTAATCTCCACATTTTCAGGTGTTCTACTTGTCGGTATAGGAGGTAACAACGGATCTACTTCTGTAGGAGCAATTATCGCCAACAAGAAACATATGACATGGAGAACCAAAGAAGGCATTCAGACTGCTAATTATTTCGGGTACAATTTCTTACTAAGTACTCTTTATTTTACGCTACGCTTTTCGTCCAAGGCCCCATCACATGGCCCTAGAATTACACCGCTACACCAACCCAATTCTGATGGCTTTCAGATCGGTTACCCAGTCATCGACCGTTCATCTTGGATGGGATGGACAGCAACAGATTCACGTTCCATTCAAGGAAATCATACCGATTCTCTCGCCGAATGATCTCATCATCGATGGTTGGGATATCAACAATCAAAACCTCTACCAGGCAATGATTCGAGCCAAGGTGCAGACTATCGAATTTGAATACATTAATTCTGATTTTAAAGACCCACTCAAATGAAGAGTAAGATACAGAGTGGGTTCCAGTAGGGCATGGGTATGAGCGCAAGTGAGAAAAACAGAGTCAGTCATAGTCCTCAACATTGCTCAGGAACTCCAGGTCACGCCATGTATTCGGCTTTCCTTCGATATCGTAGAATAACTCGAATGGATACTACGTCCACTCATTGTTACAGACATGCCGAATATTCCATTCAATGCTCTTCATTTCCCGGAAATTCAAAATATTACCCATCAAACATCAGAAATGTTTCGTGGATTTCAGCAGTGACCAGATGCGGATCGTTTGTAAAGCATACTGGCGCTCTATTAGGCAGCTATATTTTGACGGGGGATGATGCGTAGGAAGATGATTTACAGCGTACTATCGCACGGGTGCGGAGCGTTCGAAGAGATCCAAATTGAGCCCATCCAAAACAACCAAATATTCCTTCACGGGTATTAATTGATTTGCCTAGAGACTTGGTCTGGAGGTCGCAAGAACACAATATGTGGGCTAGCTCGGCCACCGCATAGTGTTGGAGGAGGAATATCGTGCTCAAATGCCAACGAATTATGAATGGACCCAATACGTGGCGCATTCCAAAACTAATTGATCGACGCCAAATGCATAATTTCTTTTGCCATCTACCTTCCTTCTTTTGGATATCATTCCCCAAATTGTGGCAATTAGATGTGCCTAATATACGAAGAGAAGGAACTAGAAATTGTCGGAAACGAATAGATTAGAGATAAAAAGACATGAGTAACAAAGAGTCGATCCCAATTTTAGGTATTCGAACCCGAGCTTCCAAGAGAAGCTTCGACCATACATGGAGCCGATTGTGCCAATGCCATCGATCTACTACCCGGACTTCATAGCGGCTAATCAAGGTGACAGAGCGAATAACACCATCCCGGGCGCAACAACAAGAGAGAACATCTTGAGCACATTCGTCGCGATATTCGTAACTTCAAAGCTAAACACGACTTAGGTAAGTTTACCCACTAAAGTATCCACCCTTCGTTAACCTTAAGGTAAAAGCTTCAACCTTTACGTCTTCAGAATGTGTGATTGTGCTGTGGACAGCGAACACGGAACGTTACACCGATGTTGTGGACGGGTTGAACATGACGGTGTTGAGCAGATACGCCATCGCGTCTGTGGATGGCCAGCGCGGACGAGGTATGACTGGAAAGCTGCGCGAGTTAGCTTCGAACATTTACGGTATATTATATTGCCTAGATCTCGCCTTCGAACATTTTCGCGATAGCCTCAATCTTGGAAGGCGCTCATTACATCAACGGATCGCCCCAAAATACACTCGTGCCAGGTATCATCGAACTCGCTCACAAGGTTCGTAGAATATAACCTACATTTCACACAGGACTAAGGCTGCTCTTATTAATTTGGCAATAGAGGTGCTGTTTGGGTCATGATTTGCTAGAAAACACACAGAAAGTCTGACCCACAGCTGACCTACTTGAGCTTCTTTGCTTATTCAAAAAAAGGGAAAACGCCGTTGGAAGGAAAATGAACGATCGCAAAAACATTACCTCACTCCCTTTTATTCGCATGCGGCATGCGCGTGTCTGCTCCCTCTCCTTCGATGTGCTTTCTCGCGTGTTCCCTACCCACCGCACTGTGTATCTCTGCCGCACTACGGTCGACCACATAAAAAAGGAGATTCTAAGCATCAGTATTTTTTAATGATATTTTTGCGTTTTTCTCCTCAACGATAGTCCTTAGTCTCGCATCTCCCGATAGTCTCGCACCTATTGTTTCATTTCCGATAGAAGTAACACACCAATTCGATAGGGACCCATGCCTTTAGATAACAAATTAATGAGCTACGTTCATAACTGGGTACAGGATTTGCTAATCATATGATTACAAGACCAAGAGCCGCTACGTCACTTATTTGCCAAATATGCCACGAGACCATGAATTCAACCAGTAAGAACGTAGGTGCTCAGGCGGTAGAAAGGGGAGGGGGTGGGCGAAGTAGTGCGGTAGTGGGGAGGGTGGTGGCTCTTCCGCTACACAAATAATCCAGTTCATAAGCACATTCCTGGATTTCATTCCCAAGATCTATCGATTGGATTTTAGTCACCCAGCCCCATCGAGATCAGTTTCCTTCCTGGATCACTGATTTTATAACAATTTTCCGGAGTGGTTAAAAAAGCCGAAATGACCCCCACAAGTCGTTGTGTGAAGGCAGACAGCATTCAACTGTTATCACAAATCTACTGGAAGTCGGATTCGTGGCGCATCAGCTATCAGCATCAGAATACTACTGACCAAAACCGAACGCTTCATTCCGCACTTTTCATTTGAACCCAGTCAGTGCAAGCATTTTAGCACAATGTCTTCGTTGGAGGAGATGATTTCAAATCGGGACAGACCAAGATCAAATCGGCATTGGTAGACTTCTTGGTCAGCAGTGGACTGAAGCCAGAATCGATCGTCTCGTACAATCATCTCGGAAACAACGACGGAAAGAATCTCAGCGAGGCCAGACAGTTCAGATCCAAGGTGAGTTTTTTCACTTTTAAATATAGCACCGCGGTTATAAAAATCCACTCTGTTAAGGAGATTTCAAAATCTTCTGTTGTTGACGACATGGTAGAAGCAAACAAAATTCTCTATCCAACTGGCCAAAAACCAGATCATTGCATCGTTATCAAATATGTGCCGTTTGTTGGAGACTCTAAAAGAGCTATGGACGAGTATATCTGCAGGTACGCTCAGAAAGCCCCTAAGCTCCTAAAGGGGCAGCGGCACTTATTCATATACCGACTGTAGCTCCACATAAATATGAACTCTCAAAGAAAAAATTACTTTTCAGCATTTTCATGGGTGGCCGGCAGACGTTCGTCATTCACAACACGTGTGAAGACTCACTACTTGCAACTCCTCTTATCTATGACCTGGCAATATTGACAGAGTTAGCCACGCGAATCCGATACGCAGACGCCAGCAAAGGCGAATTTGGTCAATTCCATGAGGTAAAACCGTTTATGTAATAAACAAAGAGACGCCCACGTCCTTAGGGGGTATATTTAGAACAGTGCATTCAAAAAGCGCGGAAGATGGCACTAGGACTAACCCCAGGATTGGGAATAAACACCAGGGAAAACAATGGTTGCTCATATCGTCGACCGGAATCCTCCCTCTCTAAGGCTGATTCTCGAGCCCCCCGAGCGGCCCCTTTCTTCAATATACCCCCCCCCTAAGACATGAGCCTCAACAAAGAACCAGACTCGGATGGAGGGTGGAAATTACACGGTCATCATTTTTTCAGTTTCTGAAGTAGTTCAAATATAGGAAAGGAATTAAGTTATTCAGTAAAACTCTTCTGCTTTCAAGGCAGTGATCACGATTGCTAGATGGCGAAGAGGTTTTAAAAACGCCATTGGACTTGGCAGGAGGGCCTTTAGCGGCGTTCAAACACACTTTGAAGCACACTTATAGGTCTAGTCCACCAATAATGCTCAAAACCGCACCGCTCTCCAGGTAAGGTAACCAAAACCGCACCGCTCTCCAGGTAACGTGATCGCTACCTTTGAACCAAGGTTGCAGGAATTGAGACAGTATTGTTGAACGATGCCTTCAAAAGGCTTCCACTTGGGATGATAAGACGTTCCCAGATTGAAACACTTCAAAAGCATGATTCACTCTACAAAACTAGCGACAGTATGACGTGGATTTTGGGCGACCACCTACTGGTAGGGCAGGGAGTGAGGAGGAGAGGGAGCGATACGCCTGTGATAGGATAGCCGCTCGCTGTACGCTCCATGTCGCCCAGGACACTTCCAGCCAGGGTCGCCCGTGCGTTCGCACTATTAGAACGAGGGGATCGCATTTGTGGTTGATTTTGGGAAGGAGGGGGGCGGTCGCAGTTAGGGTTGAGTGGTATTAGTGATACGATTGGGTGAACGGCGAGACGATTTAGATTGGTTATATTGGTTTTTGAGGGATTTGGTGGATGTAAGTGGCGCGGTAGGATAGGTGGGAGGAGTGAAAATTTGCAGTTAGGATGGTGGGTTTTCGGGGTAAGAGAAGAATTGGCCGTTAGGGGAGCCTCCTGGGTTTGTGTGGTAGGGGTCGCCATTCGACACCTAAGAAGCGGCGGAGTCTCGGAAATTCCTGAAATAGTGCGATGGTCACGGTTGACCCTGCTTCCGGCAAGACTAGGTAATTTACTAGCGCGCTTATTCATCCTATTCTATGCCAGACGAATACAGTTTTGCGCGTTCAGAAATTGCCAGGATTTGAGAATTGATTATTCTGATAACTATGTTTAGGTGCTGTCTATCCTCTCCCTACTCCTCAAGGCACCTGTTGTTCCTCCTGGCACACCAGTGGGCAACGCCTTCATGCGACAATTCGCTTCTCTCACAAAGCTGATCACAACTCTCGCAGGAATCGCCAGCGACACCGACATGCAAATTGAATTCTTTCACACAATTACCAAAAGCTAATTGAATACCACAACAGATAGGAATTTTCGCATAACTCCCGTTTTTATCACGAATTTAACACTGTTATCATTTGAAATGACCCCAAAATACATAATCGATTCATAATCGATGTAAGCGATTTAGATTTTGAAAAAAAAATGGACAAGCAAGCGCGCGTGCTTCAATGGTAGAGGATTTTTTCTCGAATTCCGCGTTTTTTTCTCTAGAACAGCAATTAACATCAGAAAAACAATAAATTAAATACCTAACTTATATTTTCAAATTCTGCCCTGTCATCATCCTTGACATTTTTTCGATCTAATCAGATAGTGACCAGTAACACAGACCACCCTTATTTACTGAGCTCTCTTGACCGAAAATTCTAAGGTATCCTTCTGTTCAGAAAAACCAGTCAAGTGCAGACCACACAAAACAAGTGAGGGGGTATGTCGCGCCTTCCAATAAATCTGGTTAGAAGTTAATTCATAGTGATAGCTGATAGTTGGTAAATGATAGTTGTAATTAGTGACAACTGATAGAATACAACTGCAAGGCTAATCATTTCATTGGCAGAAAACATTAACATTTTGTGGAGGCCGTCGTCACTTGTGGTGTGTGGTCTGCACTCGACGCGCTTCAGGTTCTCCGAAACATCTTTTTCCCATGAAAGCGATGTGCTGTTCCCATTCATTGCCCTTAGGCTTTTCATTAGCATTAGTTGAAAAGATCAATTCAAATAGTTCTAACTGACTAAATTTCCCACTTAAAATGCTAGTTTCCATATAGAAAAGTTCAATCGAAAACCCAGGTTTTCGAGATCCTAGGTGACCACGCGGTTAGACATTTGAACTTTGTGTCGCCATTTGAGCGTCTCTCGTCCTAGCATAATATCAAATATCCGTACTATAATTAATGTCACCGTAAACCATGTCACGGCGCCACAATATACGAAACGCGGGCACAAGAGATTATATTCCATTCAGTATCATTTAGCATTATTATTGTCAACAAATCACAGGCCCTAGTAATCCAGTTAAGTTTTCGTCGTTTGGTTTGAAGTTGTTTTCACAAAAGTTTTTGTTTCAGTTGTTACAATTATAGTATAATCTGAATTATTAGCGACATAATATATGTAGAATAAAGATTTGTTCCACTGTGGAATAAACTACCCAGATTTGCTACTTTATTACGTTAACAGCCTCGAAGAGCACTGCGGGGAGTGATTCGATAGAGGATAACACCGCAACGGTGGGCGGACTGATCAACAGCATGTAGGGGACAAACATTGGGGTCCAACGATGAAAATATAGCTCGGGGGAGGGGGAGGCACTCATAACATCTAATCGAAATGACAATATCTAATCAAAGTGGAATTGCGGAAGGGCGGTCATATCTAATCAACATTCAGAGCACAGTCTCTGAGTGTATGATTAGATAGGGATACCAACCGGGATTCCGTACAAAATCGGATACCTGGAAGGCCCTTTCTTCAAGGGCTTGCATGGCGATCGCAAGAAGATCCGGTAAAAATGAGGAGTCGGCAAGGTAGGCCATGATCACTCAGTTGTGCGCGTTTGGTCCCTGTGCGGAAACAAT